AATTGCCGTAAAACAAACGCTTTTATACAATAAACAAAGAAACTTGAAGCGACCCGATACTGGTGCAGTTGACCCGATACTGGGCACCTAAAATGATTCTTAAAAATATAAATAATTCTAAAAGTGAAAGGTAAGAGAAGTCAATCTTTTGAAATATTGTTAAGAAACATCTTTCCTATTCTCAAGTGAGCATTTAAAAATCGTACCTTTCCTGAAAAGGAATATATAGCAGTTCAAACCTGAAATGACCCGAAACTGGGCCACATACTGTATACATACATAGCTAGTTTATACATACCCTTTCTGCCACTCTTGATAAGTCTTTGCACTTTGCAAGTGTTGTAACAACTCTTTCATCCTGAACCAAACGAGTAAGCAAGTTTTTATAAATATTTTGTCTCATTTGAGCATTCTTTATTCGAGATTTTAACAAACTATCGAAACTTCTTACTTGATAAGCACGCGCCATATTGGATTTTCTTCCAACTAGGCAAAAAGACAATTTTAAATCTAACCTCTTATTGGTGGATATTGAGCTATTCACCCAATCACAGGCATTCTTCAAATATATGTGCTGCTTCAAGCTGCATTTTCCAATATGGCGATGTCTAGAAGCGTGTTTTCAACATTCTCAAGTTGCAAACTTTTTGCTGGCATTTTACAGCAGCCATTTATACCTACGCGAAACGCTGTCAAGTCTGCAGCACGACGAAGACTACCTACGAAGCCAGTTATAAATCCATTTGTCAACAAGAGAACTAATTTTATTAAAGAACTTTGTGTTGCTTTGGTGAAATATGATAGAATTCAGACGACATTGCACAAGGCCGTGCAGCTGAAAACATACGGTGAATTGGTAAGTTTATTAAATCTGTGTGCTACATGAATGAATAAGTGTTCATTTGTACATTTCTGTTAGTGAATTATATGTGAACTGAAGAACACTGAACACTTGCTTGTCTTTACGGATTGCGGAAAATTGGAGATGCGGAATTTTAAAAATGCGGAGGGTTGAAAACGTTTTGTATTACAGTCGATTTCACGAAACTTTGGCCACGCCAGTTGCGAGGAAACATTCCCGTACCGTCGGGCATTTGACCCTTTCATTTGACTAATCACTGGCGCAAAATTGGCCAGCGATCGCGTAACCTGAGTATCAGGCTCTATTTTACAAATAGAGCCTGACACAAAACTTAACCTGATCGCTTTCCCACTAAACGGCTGAATTTAAATTAAAATGAACTTATAAAATTAACAAAAATAATCACAAATTAGCGAAATATATTGGAAATGTAGCTTATATTAAATCGCCACCCAATTGCTCTCTCCTCCGCAAAGGTTTCAGTGACTACAATTAAAGAGCTTTACATGGCGCTTACCGTATTTATCAACAAACTGACATATAATTATAAAGTATATATACGTTATAACTATACGTCAGTTGATAGTGCAATCTGATGGCGATTTAATATAAGCTACATTTGCAATATATTTCGCTAATTTGCGATTATTTTCTAATTTTATTGCAGTTTTAATTTAAATTCAGCTGTTTAGTGGGCCGGATATAATTGTAGTTTGTTATAAAATATATCAACAACTGACAATAGTATAATCGATCTAATTAGCACCAGCCAATCAAATGACAGATTTAAAAATCGTTTGTCTAATTGGCCAATCAGACGAAAAAGCCAGAATCTGGCTTTTTACATGCGCCGCGGTAAAGAATTGTATCAGGCCCTCCTTCATTCGCCGCCGCCAGTTAATCCTGGCGAATGAAAACATAAGGGCCTGATTCTCAGGTTAGCGATTGCGCCAAGTGCTTGGTGTTGAACATGATTTGTTTTCACGTATATAACGTGGCACGGCGTGAATAGTTTTATATAAAAAGCCGTTTATATATAAAGTTTGGAACTCAACCAGGGACGTAAAAAAGGCTGTAATTGCTTGTTCTTTTGCAGAATTTGTCTAAAAAAATATGTGTCTTTATGATATTTTATATAGATAAAAAGAAAATTGAACTTACATATTGTGAGCATAAAAAGGAACATACAAGGGCATTATAAAAAGGAACATATATGGGCATTTGACTATGTTTTTGCTCGCACCGTTGGGAATTTGACAATGGGTTTCGCCCGCACCGTCGGAAATTTGACCGTATTTTTTTTAAAAGTCAAATTCCTGGGGGTTCGCCCGGGGGCGGGGGGGGGGGATGATCGCAGTTGAATTGACTCGTACCTAAATAGTATTTTTTCCAACGTGTTTCTCCTTAGATGCAAACAACGGTAGCTTGGTTTTGTACATTTCATTTCCGGTGAATGAACACTGAAAAACATGGATGCACACCGATTACACTTTGTTTTGTACATTTCATTTCAGTGAATACACACCCAATATGAATGAAACGCGATACATTTTGAGAAAATAGTTAATGGGAAAAAGTAAATAAAACGTTCTTTGATATAATAATATAAAATCAAACACAATGCACTTTCTCATCAGAAAAAATGAAAATCTTCCAGTAGACTCAGTTGGGAAAGCCCCTTAGCTACTTCAATTGGGAAGAGTCTGTCAAACAGACAGTATATGGGCTAGCTAACACCCTGCTATTGGATATATTTAAATGGATATTCCTAACAAAAAAAGTCTATAGGCCTGGCCTGTAGGCCAACCTATAGGTTTCTATAGGAAACCTATAGGTTTTTATAGGCAATTGGAACATTTTCTATAGGTGACCTATAGAGATGCCTATAAGCCTATAGAGCTCTATAGGTGCCTAAATTTCTATAGGGAATTGGAACATTCCCTATAGGAACCTATAGGCCACCTATAGACTTTTTTTGTCAGGGATAAGTAATGTTTATGCAAAGGCGGAGCTAACTTAACAAGAGCGAAAAGGGCATATTTTGTTTTTTGATGTGTTGTTGGCAGTCCCTCCGCTCCCCTCGTACGCCTGGGAGGGAGGAATTGAAAGGTTGGTTATCAAAATGGACGTATGCCAAATATCCCATGCTGATGACAATTTACATTCATTGACATTTTGGACAGTTGTCCAAAAAAATACTAATCCAAATAAATATTGTCGCATATGAACAAGGTTTTAGAATTTCCTGGATTATAGGAATACACCGACAGAGGGTATGGACAGTAGTCCAGTACAAAGGCTGATGTCAAAGAGAACCAGATTTTCTAGCCTGGTTACCCGGCCAGACTGATGATTTTCCATTGAAAGAGTTAAGACTAGTTAACTGGATGCCTCGTTTGACTCTAGATAGTGACTTCCATGTAAACTGGACTCGTTTTGTACATTGTGTATTAACCATGCTCATAAAATTAAAATTAAATATTCCTTTGCTGGTAGAGAACTATAGTTTATTTGAAGTTCTGTATTAAGTATTTGTTGTACCTATGCATTCCACTTTAACAAGTTTGACCATTAAGTGCAAGCACTTTTCCCTAGACAAGTAAGATCATCTGGTGTTAGACAGAGTAAAATTATACTAAAGTAGGGCGCGTTGGGGGTGCAATGCAACTTAATGGTGCTTTTGTGTATGTAGAGAAGATAGAATTACAGTCAATTTGATATAAATATGATACGCATCACAAGAAACAAGGATGCTCTGAATGTACCTTTTTATCGAACAGCAACAGGTCAACGCTCGTTTTTGTTCAGAACAGTAAAGTTGTGGAATGACTTGCCTGACAATGTTAAATCTGGGAACAATTTGAGGAATGTGCAATGTTTTAAAATAGCATTAAAAACATATCTGTTTCAACAATTTTGAAACGACTCTTAGTTTTTAACTAGTTATCTATTAACATTAATATTGACTTCGTTTAGCACATTTGTAATTAATATCTGAAAAGCCCTTTTGGGAGATGTTAAAGTTTTTTAAATTAAATTAAATTAAATTAAATTAAATTAAATTAAATTAAATTTCTATGCCTTTCAAAGTGAAAGAATTGAAAAAGTGAAAAAACATTGTAAGCTTGCAAATTGCCTTTAAAAAAGCATAATTTATTAAAGTCACGTCGAATACACTTTCTATTTTTATAGTTATAAAGGAACGGAATATTGTAAAAATACCTATGATAACATACAAGTCATGAAAAATTACTCAATTCTGATGGGCTAAGAGCAGTGCAATTATCTTTGAAATTGCACTAGCTGCAGTGCAGCCTAGACCTAGGCCTTCTATTTTTATTTATATTTTTTTAATATTCAGCGCTTTTTCATATGAAAAGACTGGGACTAGGTGATTTGGGGGCGGGGCGGAGGAAGGACATGACTAGGCTTGGTAAATCCGCCCCGCCCCCAAATCACCTAGTCCCAGTCTTTTCATGTGAAAAAGCGCTGAATATTAAAAAAATATAAATAAGACTAGAAGGCCTAGGTCTAGGCTGGCTGCAGTGCAATTACTGCAGTGCATAAAACAATAGCATAACCTACAATCATAGACAAATTTACTCGGACAACTGGCATGGCAAATAAAGTATTTTTTGCAACATTTTCATATATACTTCGTAAAGTTGGTCCCCCCCTCCCCTGAAACAATGCTGATGAACATTTCAGTCATCATGGCAACTATTGCGGTATTTGTACCAACAACATTGTAACGAGGGGGCGGGGAATACGGCTGGATATGCGTATAAATATTTGATTGCATTAAACTTCAGCCATTTTTAATCAGCGTCCGCGTGTTATTTGTCTAGGATTGTAGCTACGATGCTGGAAAAATCAACATGGCGGGCAGATATTAGTAACGTAATTAGAGGTAAAGAAATATTGTGTTATAGAACTGTCATTTCACATAATAGCCAAAAATGTGCGATATCCGATTGCGCAACCCTCTTCCATGTACACGTGACACGTTGACGTGACTATACAGGGTGTCTGAAAAAACGCTATGGAAATTCAACAGGCTATTGTACATCACAAACTTAATTAAACAATTCAATTTTTACATAGGACGAAAGAACAGTTATTTAACCGCTTTTCTATGATACCTTTCTTAATCCGTAACGATGAGAAATGGGCACATACAAAAGATCAATTCAAACGGCGATCATAAACTCAATCCGCTCATACCTAATTCCCCCAGCGCTAACTCAATATTCTAACAATATCTAGTCAATTATAATAGACGTTTATAACTTGTCTTAATATTTACTGTATGTAAGACAAATAGTATAATAATATACAAATAGTCAATATTCTAACAATATCTAGTCAACTATAATAGTTTATAACTTGTATTAATATTTAATTATGTAGGACAAATAGCGGTATACTTAAAGTATCCTATTATGTAAATATAAAGTATTCACCTTGGTGCAATTTTATATATATAATAAACCTTTAATAATAATAATAATACTCGTCAAATAAAAATTGTCGGTCGAAATCACGTTCTTCCACCGTTGGGAATTGAAAATACATTAATTATGCAAAGTTAATCCAAAAGCAACGCGAGCCTGCTGCAAGGTACTTGTTTCGTAAAACGTTTTGATTACGAATGTTCTCTGTTAATCATGCAGTGGTTAATTGAACCATGTTTAATGCAGTAATGCACGTTCTTATGGTCTATCTCGCTAAGACGAAGATTGACGAGTTCAGCTTATTTTAGATAATTTAACATCAATTTTAATTCCCTCTTGGGAATTGTTTATGTTTCGTTTTCCATGCAATTCCCAACGGTGGAAGAATGTGATTTCGACCGGCAAGTTTTATTTGACGAGTATGTGGCCATTTCTCATCGTTACGATTTTAAAAGAGTATCATTGAAAAGCTAATTAACTGTTCTTTCATCCTATGTAAAAATTGAATTGTTTAGCCACGTTTATGATGCACGACAGCCTGTTGAATTTCCATAGCGTTTTTTTTTAGACACCCTGTATACGCGTCACTATACGCGTATATACGTCACTATATGTGCGTCACTCTCTATAGGGTCTATGACGTAGCTATATACGTCCTTGCGGCTTATCGAATTTGTATGAATATAAGATTATGCAGGAACACGCATAATCCGTATTTATTTGAAATAAACAAACTTTAAAAATAATAATAATAATGGAAACTTTAATAATTTTGTTATATACTATATATATACAATTGCAAATCTCACTAATTTAAGGTAACTTACAATTGGCTATTTGAATCACAACTATATGAACTAATAAAAATGATAAGACAGAATACATGAAAATTTATAAATATACAAGACAATCAGATATTTCAAATAGTTAACAAGTCCGGACTTTCCCATTCCTTATTTCGGCAGCAAAAAATATAGTATGTACTTCGAATGGCAATAGTCATCATTTTCCTAACACAGTACGTTTGGTATAGTTTTTGTCCAGACCAACATTTCCTAACATTTCTAAGAATGTAGAGCATTCTTGCGCAAAAATACCTAGGGAGCTCATAGAAAGATTTATAAAGTTTACTTCGTTAAAATTTTCGTCTAGTTGTTCTACTAGTTCTTTATATTTGGCTTTTTTCCGATTAACGTTGTAATAATAATAATAATAATAATAATAATAATGATAAAGTAATAATAATAATAATAAACACTTTATTTAAACTGTTAAAAATCCCATCAGCAATGCTGCTGGTATTAACGGGAGAGCAGTGACTACAATTATCAACGTTACATTTATTTTATATACAATATAAACATGCATATTCTTATGCACTAGCAATATGAGACTTATTGTCAAGTTCTAAGAGATGTGTATAAACGTTACGTCCCTCTGGTCTCTGTTTTCAGGAAGCGGTACTAATTTCCCGTGCGTAATACAAAATGACTGAAAAACGGCAAACTTCGCAGGGCTATACAATCCGCATTTTACAGCATTTCGCAACGAAACTTCGGAATATTACTAATTTTAATTTGTGATGCTCTTTCAAGCTGTGGTGAAATTTTTGTATAGACTTGTTGAGATCAAAATTTTGGTTATTAGGTAATAGGTCCAATACCAAAAATTCATCACAGAATTCAAAGCCTAAACCAAGTATTATAGTTCGTTAATGAAGTCTCTAAATCGGGGTCGTACGCAGGATTTTTCACGTGGGGGCAGTAACGCCTATATGCCGAAAAAAGTCCCAAATATCCAAAGAATAATTAATAATGACATTCTAAAAATCGTAAATATAATTTTATCTATAGGGGGCAGTTCCCCCCCCGCCCCCCCCCCCCCTCCCGTTGTGTACGGCCCTTGCTCTAAATAGCTCACATTTGGTAAAAACAACTCTTTAATGATCATGCCACCATAGCAACGACGTAAATGGTCTTGACTTTAAGCCCGCCGCACACGAGCGCACTTGTCGCGCGTACTTGTTATTCGTGACAAGTTGGATCGACAAAATTTCCTCGTGTGCGGGCAACATTTACGGCATTTTCGTCATTCGTGACATGTAAACCAAATATCAAACATGTTTGATATTTTTCGTCATTCGTCACAAAATAATTCTCGTGTGCGGCGAGCAAACGACAGACGTTTTTAATTATGCAAGTTGCGCGCATGCGCAAATTTTCCTATTCAGGCGCGTTTGTCGTTTGCTGGCCGCATGTCACGAATGACGAAAATGCCGTAAATGTTGCCCGCACACGAGGAAATTTTGTCGATCCAACTTGTCGCGAATAACAAGTACGCGCGACAAGTGCGCTCGTGTGCGGCGGGCTTTACGTCATCGTTTTAAAAATGTTCCGCAAAGATTTAACCTACGTCACAGGTAACTTACGTCATAGACGTGGTAGTACTGATGACGTAATGTGGTGTAACTATCTGCGTACGCCGGGAAATATGTATTTTTACATCAGAGCATCTGGTTGTATTATTGTGCTCAGTACCAATTCATCTCAATCATCTGTGTAAGAGGCAACATGGCTTCAAATGCTCAAGCTTATGATGAACTAAGTAAACCACAATTCGAAGCTGGTTGTCAATTTATCAGTGAATTAAGTCTCCGCCTAGGAGACAGAGTGCTTGACATGGGTTGTGGTACTGGAAATCTCACAAAATATAGCGCCGATATTGTCGGCCCTGATGGCCTGGTGTACGGAATCGATCCTGATGCTACGAGAATCAAAATTGCTGAAGAGAAACACAAAGAGGTGAGGAACCTTCACTTCCATGTTGGTAACAGCGTCACTGGATTCCCACACGATAATGAATCATATTATGATGTTCATGACGAGATGTCAATGACGAGAAAAAGATTTACATACAGAAAGTGTATCGGTCTTTAAAACCTGGGGGAAAGTTGGCCATTCTCACTGGAGGCAAAACAGACCGCGACAATAGTTCACTAAACTTGCATCAATTGGACCCATGCAGACGGCTTTCGTAAGATATTTGCAGATGTAGGTGTATTCACCGATGTTTCGGTCGATGAATGCATTTATCCAGCACATTTTGAGAAATATGAATTATTGAAGCGTTGGTTTAAAGCTACGTTTCATCGAGACCTGGACGAATTAGATCCTGTATATGTAAAAGCGATTATGGCAGATTTTGTTACGATGCATGATGATGGCAGTGTTACCGCAAAATTACCGTGTATTCGCATCATGGCAAGTAAAGAATCATCGAGCTTGTAAAAATTAAACAGTTTGCTATAGTTATAAATGTAAACGAAAGCAATAAACTGTATTAGCTTATTTAACATTTATTGCATGGAGATGAAAACAAGAATAATAATTTTATCAAACAGGAATATCAATACTGGTTTATTTAAAACTTTTCTGTGATTTTAGATGTATCACTATATGCATATCTATATAATAGTTAGTAAAAAGTGGGCGCTATACTGATATATGTTTTCGGTTTGTCCGTATGAAAGTTAAATAAAATGCTGCTATATAGTTCTGTATATGTATATTTGTCTTGGTTAGTTCAAATGTAACAACTATACGAAAGCAAATTGTATACATACTAGTCGAATCCCAGCGGGCAAAATGGCGTTTATCCAACGTTGAATCAACGTTGGAAATGACCTTCCAGACGTTGGTAGACGTTGAAAAAGGGTTGACCATGCAAATTGGATCGACGTTACTGTTTCGACGTTGAAACAACGTTGAAATTAGGTTGCCAATCTCGTCAACCATAATTCAACGTTGAATCCACGTTAAAACAACGTTGAGATTGGTTCACAACTCGACGTCATACATTTAACCATGAATGAACGTTAATTCAACGTCTGTTGGCTGCTGTTGAACCAATGTTTGTAAAACAACGTCAGAGCAACGTAGATATTAGGTTGTCGACGTCGCAACCTTTTTTCTACCAAATTTCAACGTTGAAACAACGTCGTGTGCCCGGTGGGATGTCTAAGGGTTCCTGTTGTAGCAATTGGTTGGCTTTCGGTCTTACTTTGGCTTGTATACTTGTTGTATTTTAGAAAGCGCAATAATGACCACAAACCGACTGGTTTTTAGTGTTTAAAAATTGCCATAATTCTGCATGTTAACTGTTGCGGAACACTGCTCATGGAATTCGTGCAGAAGCTTGTTGTCTAGACTTGCCGCAGTTTTGAATAAATCATATATGTAGCCACTTCCAGCTTCTCATGCACATTGATCTGATGATGATTCTACTATATATTAATCGAAATATAACCATGAAGATTTATAAATAACGACTTATATACTGTTTCATGTAACAATTTGTGTGAAATATATTATATTATTATATGAGAGGCTCACGAATTATGATTTCAATACAAGGACACCAAGTAAAAAAACATGATTGAGAATTGCAGTGAATACCAAAACTTCATCTCAGAATTCAAAACCTGAACCAGGTATAGTTGAGCCCGTTAAGGCGGATCTCCACTAGACGATTTTTGAAACGATCGTCAAAACAGTTCGCGCGACGACACATGCATGCATGCGCAATTGAAAAAAAGGTTCGAAGAGCGATCGTCTAGCGCTCGACGAAAAGTAGGATTGACTTCTACTTTTCGTCGAGCGCCAGACGATCGCCAAATCAGGGCTGCAAATTACTGTCGGACATCGGACAATGTCCGACTAAATTTGGCAAATGCCCGAGCAAAAGTAATTTTGATCGGACATTGGTCAGATCACAAAAAAAATTGTCACATACATTTTTTGCTGTGACAAAATCCGATTGCAAATTCACTCAATTTGCATTTTGCAATAAAATTTACGACGCATTCTAGCATTTTACTTAAACGTTGCGCCGGAATGGCTATACATACTTGTCTCGTGACTTATATATATCCTGTGACATATATATGTCCGACCAAATTTAATTTAGTGGTGTTGGTTTTTGTCCAACCAAATTCAAGTTATATCCGACCAAATTCAAGTTATGTCCGACCAAATTCAAGTTATGTCCGACCAAATTCAAGTTATGTCCGACCAAATTCAAGTTATGTCCGACCAAAATTAAAAATGATCGGACAAATGCCCTGTCAAGTCAAATATTTATTTGCAGCCCTGTTTGGTTTTAACCAATAAGATTGCAGGATTCTTTGTCCAAACATTTCAATATGAAGTTTTAGTAGCTCTTCAAAAATGCTAGGAAGCATTCTGAAGTAACTAAAAAAGATTTCATGGTCATGCATACAGTCATAAATCTCGCACGAGCAATTGGTATTCACCTAAATCTACACGTGGTTCTTTTCATGTACAAATATCATAACAACTTGTTGCCACCAACGTTCAACAATTTCTTTACTCCTGTGTGCAATGTTCATTCTCAAAATACGAGGCTTGCTTCTAAATTAACATATATACTACCAAAAGCAAGAACAAATTTCGGAATTTTCAATATCAAATATCAAGGCGCTAAAATTTGGAATTCTTTACATGAATCATATAAAGACTTGCCGATTTCTCAAATTAAATATAAAATTAGAATCGATTTTCTTGGAAAGTATTGATTCAGTTTCCAACTCCAACTTTTTCTATACGTTATCGGGAGTCATGCAGGACTCCTTTCTCGATCTTTTAAATATATTTGATATAGAACTATATATTGTCAATTTTCATAATTTTTTCGTCCTTTATTTGGTTTCCTGATATTTATATAGCCCTGTGGTTATTTCAGGGAGCCAGCTCTCTTTCAAATCTTCTCAAAAATTACAAAACAATTAGTCACAGATCACAAATATATTTTACTAATAATAATAATGTTAACTATAATTTAAATAATTTCTTTGTGTATATAAATTGCAATTTGAAAGGAGCAAATAAATCTTGTATCTTGTATCCTTTCTGATTCCTTTCCTCGTAGAGTTTACGAATCCAAAATCTGCGGCGCTTCCTTTTTATTCTTTTTCGATAAAAGTATATCAACATCAATTACCTTCTTCGTAGAAGTAAATAATTCAAGTAGTGTTAATTCACGTCCGCCATTCTTGTTGTTTATCCCGCGCTTTTTCTATTGGGAAGCCTCGCAGTGCCTCGGAAGGTCGTCTCCAATGGACCTTTCCCCTTATAACTAAAATTTCGATTTAGACAAAAATTTCATCAGAGCTTGAAAGAGCATCACAAAATTAGTAATATTCCAAAGTTTTGTTGCAAAGTTCAGTCATTTTGTATTACAAACGGGAAATTGATAATCAGGTGATCAAACTGATCATCAATTTCCCATTTGTAATAGTACAAAATGACTGAAAAACGGCAAACTTCGCAAGGCTATATTATCCGCATTTTACAACATTTCGCAACGAATCTTCGGAATCACTAATTTTGTGATGCTCTTTCACGCTGTGATGATATATTTGTCTAGACTTGCCTAGATCAAAATTTGGGTTATAAGAGGAAAGGTCTATTGGATGAGGGTTTTCTAAAGAACAAAGCAATTCATTGTTGTAAACACAAAAGCAATTGTCAAATCGAGCCAATGAAGATCACTCTTCTTAGCTACTGCGAGGCTACCCTTTCTATTGCTGCTAGTACATCTCCACTTCTTTCTAAATCGTCGCGAATTTTGAGATCCGCCTTTAATGAAGTCTCTAAATAGATCACATTTGGTTAAAGGGAATGGAAATATAAATTTTTGATCATCTTGGATAAATTCGCGAGCGTTTTTTTTTGTTTGTTTTTTTATACACCCTGTACAGAACTGAGGTGTGATGGTCTGGAAGCTAAACATAAGTCCTAGTTTGATATTTTTGTCTGCGTTTATGTTAATTTGTGCACGGTCAAGGTGATTGAGCTCATAATGGATATTTGCATTATAGACTAAATTTTGATCTAGACAAAAATTTTATCACAGCTTGAACGAGCATCACAAAATTAGTAATATTCCAAAGTTTCGTTGCGAAATGTTGTAAAATGCGGATAATATAGCCTTGCGAAATTTGCAATTTTCAGTCATTTTATATATAAATTGATGCCCCAACACCCGATTGGGCTGGCAATTTCCATAGATATCTTATATACACTAGATGACGCATCTCTTTTAGTAAAATTGAAGCCAAGAATATTCCAGCGGTTACCCCCATTTGAATAGATGGCGGCCATGTTGGTCGTTCCCACTTGCTAATAAACGCTTAAAAACAACAATTACTTTCATCATTTGAATAGTTTAAAAATGTATTTGGAATAGGGTTAACTTGATGTTTAAGTTCCCTGTTTATAAGAAATAGAAAACTTACGAATCTTTTCATTTCATGGGAACGACCTGAGACTGCAATCACGGCTTCAATTTTTGAATTGTAGAATATTTAGATGCACTATCTAGTGCATATAAGATATCTATGGCAATTTCCCGTGCGTAATACAAAATGACTGAAAAACTGAAAACTTCGCATGGCTATATTATCCGCATTTTACAACATTTTGCAACGAAACTTTGGAATATTACTAATTTTGTGATGCTCTTTCAAGCTGTGATTTTGTCTAGATCAAAATTTAGTATATAATGCAAATGGTCCATTGACATCGTATTTTCGTATATTGAAGTAACCGTCCAATCGGGATAGCTGAGATGAAACGTGCAACCACGATGAATAACATTTAATGAACTTGAGACAAAGGATATGTGCACAATCATGAGGTACAGTTCAACATCAAACAAAGGTCTTTTATTTTGTAGCTTTGAGGTTTGCCGGACTTCCAACATCATATCTTGACAGACTATACGAACTAAAGACTGTATATTATTATATGAATAAAATACTACATGCAGAGTGTGTTTTGGTGTTTGATGGCGGATATTTTGGCTTTAAAAAGTAACTAAAATTAACTCGTAAACGACATCGGTGACCCCCAAATTTTATTTAAAAAAATTATTTCTCTTAGTATAATCAATTATTTTGACAATTTAAAACAAATTCTGTGGAGTAAAAAAAAATGATTATGAATAATCATCTTTACGTAATTTAAAACATTTCGGCTTCATAATTCCAGCTTTTAGTTTATGCGTGCAGGGGGCGATGGGAAGTAAGGTATCATATTGCTGATTATGCTGAAAAAAATAAAATTGGCGACCGTGTAAACACGGAGTGACAGCTTATACTTGTAAATATTGAAATGTTTCGGCAGTTTTTATTGAAATTTTTCAACATAATCAGCAATAGGATACCTTACTTCCCATCATCCCCTGCGCGCATAATTTAAAAGCTGGAATTGCCTATTGATTATACCAAAAGAAATAATTTTTTAAAATAAAATACGCATCTAAATCGTGAATTTTCCATTTTTTTAAACTGTATTGAGCCACCATCAAGAGAATAAATGGAAAAACCCTTACTAATAATAATATTTAGACAAAAAGCTAATATCTACACAGCTGTGTCTGCAACAAATTTGTTCGTATATTACCAAAACCGTGCAGGTTCCTCGTCATGTTTCCGTGTCCAAACATGATGTCGATTTCACGACGTTAGCAATCTGGTTAGTGCATTCCTAATGAGTAATGTTTTGAGGCAAAAACATCGCACGTTTTTTCGAGCGAGGGGAAGGATCAGTGGTATGGGTAATATCGTAACAATATTTCAAATAAATACTTATATCTTTAATAATTAGTATAGGCTAGGAAATTGCACGGTTCGAGAAATATTAATGAAAAATCTCGCGTGTGTTTGGAGAAATATTAATAGTTACTTACAACCCCTATATTTGTTGTTGTTTTTGTCATTCCGATTGACCGAAAGATTATTATTTAACTTTATTATATGGCAAGCATCACTTCCGGTGAAATCAAACAAACGATGTAAAAACAAACGCATGCATTTTAAAACAAAACAACAAAACTAATTGAAAAGTTGAAAATTATAATTTGATTTGTTATTCAAGATATTTGCAAATGTTTTTAGTGGAAAAGAAGGAATACATTGGTATTTTTTGTTTTCTTCAACCAAACGTATGCATTTTAAATCATGTATTTCTTGTTTGTTTCCAGTATAAATGCCTATAAATGCCATATAATAAACTTTTTATTAACCTCGCTTGCTCGGTATGTACAGAGAAATATCGAGCCTCGGTCTTTTTGTAGAAACCTCGCCCTTCGGGCTCGGTTTGTACAAAAAATACCTCGGTCCGATATTTATCTGTACAGACCTCGCGTTCGGTTAATAAGAAGTTATTAACTATTTGATAATTATGCTTGTGATATTACTCTGAGTGTATATCCACACCGGGCAAGTTTGAAAAATATGCCTGACCATGGTGGGAATCGAACCTACGACCTTTGGAATACTAGCCCAACTATATGCTCTGCCAACTGAGCTACGCGGTGAGATCGGTTCGAGTATGTGATATTTCGAAACAGAATCTAGTTCCTTCGATATCAATGTAATCTAATAATCAGTAATGATTTTTCTGTGTTGGTATAATGTACTCAGGTGAATATGATGCTTATGATGTTACTCTGAGTGTATATCCACACCGGGCATGTTTGAAAAATATGCCTGACCATGGTCGGAATCGAACCTACGACCTTTGGAATACTAGCCCAATGCTCTGCCAACTGAGCTACGCGGTCAGATCGGTTCGAGTATGTGATATTTCGGAGCAGAATCTAGTTCCTTCGATATCAATGTAATCTAATAATCAGTAATGATTTTTCTGTGTTGGTGTAATGTACTCAGGTGAATATGATGCTTGTGGTGTTACTCTGAGTGTATATCCACACCGGGCAAGCTTGAAAAATATGCCTGACCACGGTGGGAACTCAGTTGGCAGAGCCGACCACTCAGTTGGCAGAGCATTGGGCTAGTATTCCGTAGGTTCGATTCCCACCGTGGTCAGGCATGTTTTTCTGTCGTTCAAAGTTTGCCTTTAGCATCACTTTTAGAGTTCAATTGAATTGCGGTGAAAGCAATTTTTTCTGAAGCCCGCAAATGCCCCAGAGCTTTGGGACAACGAAGAAACTGCAATATAACCGGCCTACAATGGATGCCAATCAACTTCATGTTGTTACTATGTCTGTATTAATATTGATTGGCTTTCTTCGTTCATTTGGATGACCGAACTGGCGTGAAACAACGATAGGCCACATCTGGATACGCACTTGATAGTTACTCTCAACAAATAACAATTTTAGGTTTGACTTCTATTTTTCGCCTTTCGGGTAAAACTTTGGAATTGGAAAACCCTTGCCTTGCATGCTACGTATAAAATTGTGGGCGAATGGAAAAGCTCGAGTCTTGCAATACGAAGACGAATTCACTACTGCTGAGACTGATTTATGTTCGTTATTGCATGGTATACCCTGTAGCTATATCGGCAAGTAGAATGAAGGCAGGTTGTACGCAATAATTATTTCGACAATAATTCCACACCCCCCCCCGGGTATATTATTTGATAATTTTTAACAAATTAAAATGTTTTGGTGTTTCGTGTTCTGGTTTTACTAATAGCCCTTAAAATCTAGAAACCAATTAAACAGTCAAAACAAATAAGGAATTAACGAAATTAAGCATCCTGAAGCAGGGCCTACGCCAAAAAGGTAGCTAGCCTATTTTACGAAATAAAAACAAATTTCCTTCCCGCCAAAATTGCTAGTGCTTGCCCAGTAGCCCTCCTCATATGAAATAAATGACAAAGTGGTCTAGCAAAGCGAGCTAGCCCAGCTAATTTGAACAGCCCCTTATTACGATAGAACTTAATTACAACAGCATTTCTCTACGTGTTTAGTTAATTATGATGACTCGCCGAAGATGTCCTCCACCCGACCTGTATTATCTTGAAGATGGTTTTATTTTAACGGATCAAGAAGCCAGAGAAAGATTAACCACGAAAATGGTTGTTAACAGAAGAAATAAGAAGATCGTTACCCTGCCTGAGGAGGTGACTGAGCAAGAATATGTTGAGCAATTACAGCTACAAACAAGGAATGTTTTACTTGAGGTTTGTCAAGAGTACCATTCCTGTACAGAACCGATATTAGGGAGCTTAAAGTATTATTAAAGTATTATTAACATGCAGCAACGGATTTTTATAGGGCATGGTGCAGCAACAATATCTACACCCTCGCCCTCACTAACAGGGACGGATCTGGTCTGATTTGTTAGAGGGAGCGAGGTTTTCCAGAGGAAGTGCATTACTAGGGAGGGTCCGGGGGCATTCTTCCCCAGAAAATGTTTGAAATTTGAAGCCATGAAATGCCATTTCTGCATTCTGAGCACCACGTTTATTCGTTAAATTTGTCCTCACAGTACTTGTATTTCATGAAAAAATTAAGAAAAGTGCTACGTTATATGGTGGCCCGCCGTGTTGGTGCTTGAATATCTTTTCGCGTATTCGAAAATCAATCGTTTCAATAGTATTCACAACTCAAATATGTAATACCAGAGTTTTCTTCAAGGGGGTGCTAGACACCACTAGGGGGCGCACCCTCCCCCCCCTGTACCCCACCGGTAGATCCGCCCCTGCTCACTAAACTCTCGTGGTTAAAGATTTTTGAAACCCTGTTGGAATTAAAATCTAGTCAAAGTGTATAATATAGCTCTGAATATTGTATCTATTTGGAAAATGGGTATGTTGTGTTTACTACGTCCGGTGTCAAAGCGGATACCGCCTCCCTGAAAGAATATTTCCCCACACACTATCCGCTAGCGGACTGTGTCTCCCCGGACACTCCGTGCGTCGCGAATTTCTCTTTCTCTCAACTATATTAAGCCTGGTTCACATAAAATCGTTAAGCAGTCGCAGACATGTGCCGAATTTTTATATGAACACAAATGCAGATTCGCGCAGACTGTCTGAGACCGGAACTTGGTTCAACTTTCCCGATCCATCGCAGATCGTTCATACAAAAATTCGGCACATGTCTGCGACTGCTTAACGATTTTATGTGAACCAGGCTTTACACTTAATATGACTTACACTTAATATGACTTACGCTTAATATGACTTACGCTTAATATGACTTACACTTAATATGACTTACACTTCATATGACTTACACTTAATATGACTTACACTTCATATGACTTACACTTCATATGACTTACACTTCATATGACTTACACTTCGACTTACACTTAATATGACTTACACTTCATATGACTTACACTTCATATGACTTACACTTCATATGACTTACACAGAAGTCACTGCCTCCTCCGCAGGCCCTCGTTGCGTCATGGGAAGGTCACGATCTGGCGAGGGCCTGCGGAATCTTGTAAAAAAAATGGCGCCGGCGTCACGTCAGCAAGTAAATTTCTACATAATCTTGAATATAAACAGATAAAAAAAAGCGGCGTGAAACTTGTAAATTAAACTGGCGACTCTTAGGACGTGGAAGGAAGCATTTTTTAACGATAAGGTTTGTTGTCCACACCAACGTTGCACGAATAAAACTGCCTTCTTTAACGAAGCAGGTTCAAAACAACATTTATTCATTTTACAAGATTCCGCAGGCCCTCTCGAAATCGTGACCTTCCCATGAGACAACGAGGGCCTGCGGAGGAGGCAGCAGAAGTCACGGCTTTGGGAACTGGGAAAGAGCAGGAAATTATCCAGCTTAGCAGTGTTTAGCAAGGGACGTTTTTGTCAACGCGGACGTCACCCGAAATTTCGTATAACTAATTTTGGCGGCATTTTGCATCATAGCCCTCGTGTAAGGAAGCAAAAACTTTAAAAATTTCGTTTTGTCGTATGTGTTGAAGATTACGACAAACTGACACCAACACAGTTTTTAATCCAGTCCCCCCTCGGCAATCTGACGTCCTTGTTGACAATAACGTCACTTTCTTAAGCTCGCTAGTCGCTAATGATAAGCTAAAAGACACCAAAGTAACTACCACCGACTGCGAAAGAGACCTTGGCGTATGGGTGTCTTCCAATCTTACGTGGAAAAAACAAGTGTGCAACCAGACGTCAAAAGCGAACAAGTCCCTTGGCTACATCAAAAGAAACACCAGATTCGTGAAAAGTACTGAAGCAAGACGGATGTTCTACCTGACCCTAGTTCGGTCACATTTTGGTTATGCATCACAAATCTGGGCACCACAATCAATAGAACTTATTAACCATCTTGAACGAACCCAACGACGTGCTACCAAATATATTCTAAATGTACCGTTCTCCTCGGATATAGACTATAAATCAAGGCTGCAGTCGTTGCATCTCCTCCCAATATGCTACTGGCACGAATACCTTGATTTGATTCTATTCTTTAAGATCACACATGGTTTAGTGAAAACAAGCGCCTCTCCAGTTATTCAGAATTCTCGCAGAACCACTCGCTCAAATTCAAGCAACACAGTCAAGTATGTCATCCCCAGATGTAAAACAACCAGCTACCAGAAATCCTTCCTCGTTAGAACTTCCAGAATATGGAACACACTAATAGACGCAATAGACCTTCATACGGACAGTCTAGCTGTATTTCAATCATGTTTACTTAATTATTATTTTACCTCTGTTGACATTACTTATAATCCTGAAAATCCGCGAACATTTAGATCTTTATGCTTGAAATGCAACTGTGTTCGTAGTTTAGCGTCTCCAATATATTGCTGTTATTGAAAATTTCAGCACAGCTAGCTACATGGCAACTGCTCGTGCTATGCTTATATAGTCGGTAGCATGCATTGATTTGTTCAATTTCTTTTCAGCTAGTGCATGTTATTATCATAGCATGATCAGTTGCCGTAGCTACCTAAATATATAGTTGTATAAATGCATGAAGTTAGTTGTTAGTTTTTTTGCTATTTGATGTTAACGTATTGTCCTTGGGTTCGCAGTAATTGGCTAATCGCTGTTGCGAATACCCTGCCATATAGTCTAGTTAATTCGTTAAATTATTACTTTGTAATAACTGTTAATACTATCTGGCAAAGTTAATAAATTAAATTATGATATTGACCTGTCCACACCGGTGGTTCACACTGTGTATTCAATTCCTGTGAATTATGATTAAGTCACACCTATACAGCGCCGCCAGCTGTTCATTTTTGAACAGGCATGTAGCGATATAATCATCGATCTCTCCCTGTGCAATATAGTGGGACGATGCATAATGGCAAATCTGAAAGCACATGCATTAATCACGTGCCGTAAACATCTGTTCCCTACATATAATGGTAATTTCTAATTTTGATTTTCTAGGATGAAGAAGCTTTACACAAATTGTATGAAGAGTTAGTTCCGAGGTATGAAGATCGATATGGTGGGTTTGTTAAAGTAACACCTATACCATACCCAACCAAACGTCGCTATCCCAGAATGGCATACGTCGAATTCGTAGATAATGATTTACCACCAATTCCCAGACTTCCAGATGTTATTGACGGAACATTTGTGACTTTTCCAAGAACTTTAACTGATATTGAAACAGAAATAAACACGAGCTGAGGTGTTCTTGAAAGGTCGTTGCAAAACAATAGTATTAACTATCTTCAGCAGGTACTGTAAACCAAAAACAGTGCACAAGGAGAGCATGGGGAGCATGGTGTTTTTACTATCTTATTCTCTTTGTCTTACAAATGTTACTCTTCCCCCTTGTTTTTCAGTCACAAAATATTCTCGAAAATTACTCTTGCCTGGATCGTAGCCTATCGAAGGGAAGATGGCTGTGAAACTCATTAAAATAACAATATTTCGTCGAGACAAAGTCGAGGTGAATATTCCCCGATAATCACCGAGCCTGAGGCGAATAATTGTTTTAGTATTTTTACACAAGTCTTTTGTGTTTTCTGGGACTGAATTTATTTTAATTTCGCTTATTTCTTTATCAGTAACTTCCACAAAACGACTGACCGCTATTTTGAAAATTTCGATTTTGTTATATTCACCTTCTTTTAATTTTAATTTTAATATTAATATTAATATTCTTGTTATATTCACCTGTTTTGTTATATTCACCTGTTTTGTTATATTCACCCGCTTTTAACAAATCCTACAAGTTGATTGGTCGATTTGTTATGTTCACTTGTGCAAAAATACTAGAATTCATTATCTATGTTGGTCAACGTTTATGGAAATTGGAAATTGCTATTGGTGGATTTGGCAAAAATACAATACACACGTGACGGTGAAGGACCAGATTTATGAATAAACGTTGACTGACATAGATAATGAGTTATATTGTTATTTTAATGAGTTTCACAACCATCTTTCCTTCAATAGGCTATGCCTAAGACTGAATATCGAGCAAACATTTTATGCAGAGTGCCGACCTTAGCAGAGACATTTTTCCTTCATTTCAATTGCGATCTATTGGTACGACTGTGGTGGAATTACCAAAAAAGTAACATTCACTTATAATTGTTCAAATAGATCATATAATAATTTATTTTAAAATCTTCTTTTTTTTTTAAATCGGCACGAACTATATGTGTAGTATAGACCATTTTGTACTATACTAATGTTACAAAGAAGACAATTATGGAGAATCAGGCTGAGAATAAATATATACACAATATATTTACATGTGTGACTGCAAATTACGAACGTAGTGTTGTTGCATGTAATTAACAATTATTCGCTGAAGGCGAGGTGATTATCGTTGAATAAAAACCGAGATGAAGTTGAGGTTTTATTCACGAGAATCACCGAGCCTGAGGTGAATATATAATTGTTTAGTATAATTTCATAGGTGATTATTTGGGAAAAAAAAATTAAAAATACACATTTCTTCGTGATTTAATTGACAAAACGGTTTCGGCCGCCATTTCGAAAATCGCTTAGGTGATTATCGCGTTATAATCACCTGAACGGCAACCAGTCAGCGTGGAGAATTTTCAATAATCACCTATGTAATTATACTAATGCTTCTTATTATAATATTTTTTCACCGTCTTGTGATTGCGAAGTTTCATTTTCTGATTCAGATTTCTTTTCGTCTGTGAGTGGGTTGATGTTTGCATTTACGATATTTTTCAGAATTATAATTTCCAAATTAACCTGTTCGCACTTTTGGTCTTTTGGAGTTTGTTTGCTTGAGTTCACTGGCGTTTCTTGAGAGTCTGTAGGCTTTTCTCTAACGTGTCTGGATTGACCAATTACTGATGAAAAAGAACAACAATATTAGTATTATGCTTTGGTTCTTTCAATACAACGCTCATAGAAGGCTCACAGGTTGGAGTTATCGTCAGTCCCTCTGTGCGTGGTTAATTCGGTTGAGAGTCAATATGAATCTTTTAAGCTTACGCCCGGATCAAGCGGAGGATGAGAGTGCATGAGAATTAGCAGTCACGCGATCTTGGTTTAGCTGTTCTTAATGCTTTCTCAACAATGTCATGTATTGTATTTAAGGTGGCTCGACACAGTTTTCAAAACGTCAGGTGTATAAAATTTTGACAGTTTTAAACATCGTATTTTTAGGTTTTATCATGCGGATATCAGGGTGTTCGCACAACATAGATTAACAATGTACACTATAGACTAACAATGAGCAAAATATAAAAAAAATCTGTAGTGCCATTTTTTTGAAAAGTGCAAAAATGTCGTTTCCTTCGGGGTTTTTTTTGCATTGCACTTTACACTCTTTGTTATTTTTTTATATGCATTGCAAGACTTGTGCAGTACAATACAGCGTAAAAAATTTCGGTTATCGTTCCATGTTTCGCGCACCAATATAGGTTTGGGTTAGGGGTTAGGAATTAGGTTAGGGCTGGGGTTAGGTTTAAGGTTAGGGTTAGGGTGTGTATACATGTGTATGGAGGTATCCAGTTAACTTTTCAGTACACTTTAATATCCATTACATAACGTTTACTGTATTGGTGCGCAAAACATGGAACGATTACCAAAATTTCAACATAAGTCACCGCACGAAATAGTCAGATATAGCGCATGACGTCTGCAAATGGCAAGTTACTAGATGCATGCATCCCCATTGGATGGCGGCTCGCTTTAACTGCTCGCGGAACTTGCTGAGCACGCGCAGTTGATCATTTTTTGCCCGGTCGCCTGAAAAAAAGTGGGTACATGAAAATGTAAGTTTCCGCAGTGTTTACAACGGCCAGCTCCACCTCTATAAGTATCTACTCTGTGGCCAGGTCATATATGTAAGCCTTACGTTAATATTTCCGCGGACATGAATGGTCATCCCGATTTGTTCATGTAGCATAATTAAACGTTTTGTGTTTGCGATTCTTGTGTAATGAAATCGAGCACCTCAAGGTAAAACACAGTTAGAACACTCATCAAACTTTATTTTGTTAATCTAGAGCTTGGAATGTCCCCTGCAACAATTCGTGAATGCCAACTCTCATAATCTCTCATCGTTTGATCGGGGTTTTAAACCCATCAGCATGGATACCAACAGGTCATGTGTAAGTTTTTTGTTCGATCATCAGTAGTCATTCTTTATTTTAAGCCTTGCTTAAAATAAAAAACGACCACTGTTTATCGAACAAACAACGACATAGACACATTTCAGACTAACTGATTATCTCTCACATTCCAATGTTATACTGCATGCCCACTTTCCTTTTAATCTCCTTTTCTGATAGTAGAAAGCGGCAGATTGACTACTGAGGCTGAATGAGTACAAGTAACGTCCGTATTTACAGAAACATGTCATACTCAAATTCTCTAATCATACCCCTGGACCTGGACCAGAAGCTAATGCATCAGGAACACATAGTGTGATTGTTTGATTAGTTACAGCTGTTAGAGGAAAACAAATGGACACGATATCAACTAACATTTCTTCAGAACTATTAGCCTGGTTAAAGTGATTTAATTTGAACTAACCTTTACTCTGTTGATCTGTTACAGAGTTATTTACGATAACGCTTGCGGATCTTTCTACATTTCTGAAAGGTCTGAAAACTATAATATAGACCTTTGGTCCAAATAGGCACACAAGTATTGTAGTTGCATTCAATGTCGTTTTTAAAGCCATTGTAATTGGTTCATAACTTCCTGATGTCCCAAAATGGACAGGAAGAAGTGCAATCCATATAATACACGTACTATACATAACCAAACCAATGTACTTGGCTTCGTTGAACATGGACGTTATTTTTCGAATACGGAATGAACAGAATGTACATAGCAGGATTAATAATGCGTTATACGGTAATGAAGTCATGTATTCCAATCTTCCAAAGTTACATTTTGCAAAAATATCTTCGCTAGTAGGCAAAACGGTGATAACTTCTGGAGGTTTTATAATTAGTCCAACAGACGCTAAACTCGCTTCGACCGCAATTAACAGAAAAACGAAAACCAGTTGGGTGTGTGATTTAGTAAAATGTACAGATTTTATATTTCGTGTCGTAAATATTCTTCCAATGCGATCGATTTTTATGAGAAGAGAAGCATAGCATATGGTAGCGGAAAATCCATTGCCAAATCGTTGTACGGCACAGATAACAGTAGTTGCTTTGTTCACAAAGACGATTGCCATTATATAATTCAGGAAAACTCCAAGTAGTAAGAGGAATATTAAGTCTCTTTCACTTGCTTTTACCAATGGTGTAGTTATATTGTATAGCAATAACGCAGTTACAATCAACGTAAACAGTGCTCCCAGGCAAGCAAAGCATGTAATGGTAATGAACCATCTGTTAGAGATATGACGTAATGGTAGATCCTCACACCCACTGTAGTTGGCATTGGGTCTTTGAGTACTTCCACAGTCGATACATTTCGCTTCGTTTTCTAAAAAGTAAACAAGAGAAATATTGATTTATAAAAGGGAGATGATGTAGAGTTCCAATCACGTCGGCGAATATTAGCGTAAAGCAAATAATTTTAGCCGAAAAATTAAACATTTGGTAGTATGGTAAGGTGTTATCGTCTTTATAAGTGCACATACAGCTATTTTGAATTTTACATGTTTGTAATATCCAGTACATTTTAAGATGAAATGCAATATATTTTCTTTGTGAAAAACGTCATCTTCATGGTCCTTTTGGCTGTTAAAGTGTTTCTGGAACTGATGTCATTTAAGTCATTTTTGTTGCAAGAAGCAATAGAAAACTCGTTTACATTGCCTTAAATGACGTCAGTTCCGGAAACTTAAACAGCCAAAACGACCATGAAGATGATGTTTTTCACAAAGAAAATATATTGCATTTCATCTTAAAATGTACTGGATATTACAAATATGTAAAATTCAAAATAGCTGTATGTGCATTTTAAAAGTGCCTAGGTTGCGATACGAGATTTCATATATTTTTAATACTCATTAAAATATTTTATCAGAAGATGGCAAAGTATGGTCTTGGAGAAAAGTTCGATCGCAATGGATCCTACGAAAAATTATTGTTTTGTGGTTGGTTTGTTGAAGCAAAATAACTGGTCCGTTCATTATTTAGAGGAATGAGTAATGCAGTATATCCTGTTGTACTCCACTGTATTAATCAACCCACACAATAAAAAATAGCTGGTACAGAGTGCTTGCTATTTCCCAGCTCAACTGACAGAAAGAGAGTGTTAATTTTTCATGAAGGGGCGATCTGATACGTTCGAATATACTTGGGAAAAGGATCGATTTTCTTACCAACATACTGTCTTTCCTTGTTCGAACAATTGAGACATTTAAAACAACATGTCGTTCCTTTCTTAGCAAGTTTTCTGCTCCATGGATTACATGTATCATTACAAGTCGATTTAATGTTCCTCAATCTTGAACTTAAAGAACAGTTTGTTAAATTTAGCTCATCCTGCCATTCTCCAAGCTTGTTATAGTGATCATGTTTCGTGTAATGAAAGAGAATATACTTCCCTTTGGAATTGCCATTATCATGAAATGAGACATTACATGATGATTTTCCTTCAAACTTTACTTTAAGAATACGATCTCTAAGTTCAGTACCATTGACTGGTGTCATCGCTTTGCATAGTCCAGTCTTGTTGGGGCATTTATTCTCGTACATCTCGTGAAGGGCATGAGCAAATGCGTAAACTGCATCAATAACATATGGTAGTTTATCATTGAATGTTGTATCGCAAATTGAATCACCACATTGTTGCCAGTATTGTTGAAACCAAGGATTCTCTCTTCTCGGATTGCTTCCATTCAAGTTTCGAAAATATTTTTCAAATTTTGTCAACTGTAATGATGGCAATGTGAGGGTGATTGCGTCTGACTGATTGAAGTACTTTACTACATCCGTCCGAGTACCCCATTCGTCACTTGCAATCCATACTTTATTTGTGTAGTTTTGTTTTCTTGCCGCCTTTAGCAACATTTTTAAATGATTATCTTTCATGAACAAGATAACAACTCGAGTTGATGGAAACTTATTAAACCTTTTTATTATCTTTTCATAATCTTCACTTGTAGATTTATCTGTCACTTGCTCGGACAACACAACGCACACAGAAATGTTCTCTGGCTTTGCAAGTCTCTTGAATTCCTTAATTCCCATTTCACCATAACTTCCAGCCGAGTTGATAGTGAACACGGAACCCCACTGGAATTCTTTCACAACATCTAACATGGCTAGTGCTTGGAGTGAGTCTGAAGGAACAGTTCTTGCAAAGTAGCTGTATTTCTTCTTGTCACTCAACTCCGGACTTGTTGATGCATAACTCACTTGAGGAATTTTGAACAAACGAAATAACTTAGCCACCTCAATTGACAATGTACTTCGAGATGCACCAACTACCCCTACTACATCCTTTGTTGTATTTCTCAAACATTGCCCACTTTGTTGCGAGCTTGAACGTAAAGTCAGCGAGTCCAAAATGAACTTAAGTGACTCATCCAGTGCTTTGGTCTTCAGACTACACGTATCCCGTATTTCTGCGCCTAACGTCACGTTTGGTAGCAATTTTTGATCTTTGTTAATTTCGTGAATAGCATACAACATTGCTTCAACTCTTTGAATGCCAACTTGTACCTCAACGTCCTTATTGCATTTATTGAACCCATTTATCTTTCGTATTCTAAACAGACCACCTAATACGATATTTCCGTCTATTATTCCAGCTGTATCCTCTTTGCTCCCAGTAGTGCTGCAGGATATTCTAGTGAAATGCAGAATGAGAAATACGTAATACCACACTGTCCAGCGATAACAGGAACCGCGAAACATTACCAAAAGCTGTAAAGAGAAGGAGCAATGTAAATTTCAGGTGTCTTGAAATAAAATGTAAAGTATTTTTACCTACGATATATATTTTGAGTATAATATATTCTATAGCGAAATTTACCATCTGTGGTATAACAATTGTTTTTAAACTTATATTCATATACGCTAACCACTTCACCTCCAACGTCACTTCCACTTGCCAGCTCACCAGAATTGCCGCTATTTAATTTAATTAAACCCCCATGTAAATATTGTTGACATTATTTTCTGATGAGAGATGATTCGTTATCCCCCTTCGGCCAGATGGTCTCGCTAATTGTCCGAAACAAATGCTAAGGAGTATTAAACGAGGCTCTCTTTTCTCGAGCTCATCGCTGCTCATCAAAAATTTAAGGGATGTTACATCGGTACAGATGTGTATGGAGGGAAAATGGTAAATATGCCCAAAAACTAAAATCTCTTTTTGAAACGTTCAAGCTGGTTGCAATGAATCTGACGGCAGAGCTAGCTATACATCAAGCTTTGAGAAGATTTGCCGATTTGCGTACAGGAACTCAGATCGCTTGAAAAATTAATAAATTAGCTTCTATAGTCAGCAAAGCAGGAAAATTACCTGGAGTACAACATGACGAAAGCCGTATTCCAGAACACACGAAGCTACAGGAGCATGGTAGTGTTGGAAAAGAGAAAAAGAACTATATCTGCCTGCATGACTAACGACGTAGCCATTCCAACACTCGAATTGTCACTTTAAGTGAGAAAGAAGAACTACATGTACAACTGGATTTATTATGAAGCATTGGATGCTATCAAAGAGGCCATGACCTACAGGTCTTGGAAAAATAGAAAGCCATCTTGTGAATGCAGCAAATAAGGAGCGGGTAATCATTCGGTGCATGCACATATGAACTAAAATGATGAGCTTGAACAAGGAATTTGAAACTCTTCTCAAAAAAGTTACGAAGGTTTCCAAGTCAACATGTCAAAAAGAACGCCTTCCTAACATTGACATACCGTGCCCTTCCAGTTCGAGTTTTCAAATCCGCATTCCACGCCCGTTAGAAGAAGCACGATCGGTAAATGAAATTCCTTGTTAGAAACTGGACAAGAAGAAATTTGAGATCCGCATTCATGTTACCACGTCGTCTGCTACGGTGATATCAAGAAAACAAGACATGCGGAAACATTGGATGATACCACTCAGGAAAACAAGGATTCGGACATGGTACAAGAAATGGTTGGACTAGTCAATATATAGAGAACCATCCCTGTCACGGCAACAGGAAGATGAATTCGAGGTCTATGGATTACTTAGTCGCCGACATTTGAGTGCAATTTCAAGAGGAAAGACCGGTTTAGGAGAATTGAGTGTGACCCAACAATCTATCGATACAGGAAATGCCTTATCATTTAGAATACCCATGCGGAGAGGTACGCAAGGAAATCCAGTCTGTGCTTGATAGTGGCGTCATTGAACTATCAGAATCACTATGATCGAGAAAGTGAGATTGATTGATTTTAATAATCGTAATTTGCGGTTACAATAAAAACAACTGAATTATATACGATGTACAGTAATGAATAACCTAATATGTACATAACAGGTAATAAAATTAAATTAGATTATATTACAATTAAAAAGAATTAGACTATTGTTGAAGACTATTAGCGATTATGAATGAGTTCTTATACCCGAGGGGCATTTCACTCCAAAAAAACGTACGGGATTTTCGGATTTTTCCTGGATTTTTTAGCGGATTTTTGAAGAGAAAATCTGTTGGATTTTCCGGATTTGTTTGGATTTTCCGGATTTGTTCGGATTTTTTCCGGATTTTTTTACGAAGCGTACGGGATTTTCGGATTTTTAAAAATCCGCGGATTTTTTAGCGGATTTTTAGCGGATTTTTGAAGAGAAAATCTGTTGGATTTTCCGGATTTGTTCGGATTTTTTTCCGGATTTTTTGACGAAGTGTACGGAATTTTTGAAGTGAAATGCCCCTCGCTTATACCGATCAGTTCGAATTCGAGGTGGAGAGAATTTACTGCACCGTCTTAAGCCTGTTTTCCACTAGGCGGAATTTTGCGCGCGGAGCGGAATTTTTTCTTTGTCTTTTCTAATTAGCCGCCTAGTGGAAAACCGGTTTTAAGGAATAGTTACAAACAAAGTATTTCCTCAGGAACTAATGAATATAATTTATGATCTTTGTTTTGGGCTTCTTCAAAGAGTTTGAGACATGCAAGCAGCTGTTCTACGATGAAACAATTAATCGAGAAAGACAGGAGGTTGAACCAAGTGACGAATAAGGATCAGTCTAGCGTCATGCAATGATCGAATAAAGTTGTTCCAATCAATGCCGAAAAAAGCTACAAGTACAGTAAACCAGTGCCCATTTCAACAAACGTTGCCTCCCACAAAAATACTATAAAGGCTCAGAAGTAACTGCCTTTTTGTCTGACTTCTCCAGAAATATTTTTCTTGAATAAATAGCACGGATCTAATTGCATTCACATGGTCATGGATGATTCAATGAATTCATGCATCACCTTTTTCACTTTCGTAGTGAGTAGAACCTGTCTCTTTCATCGGCAGAGGTCTCCATGAGTTTTTCTAGTCCTACGACTATTTTCTCGTCAGAAACCCCTGGCACTGCAGCCAGAGAGGCAATCGGTAGAACAAACTTCACTTACACAAAAACGAATCATACTCCGCGAGGCTAGTAATGTTCCTTCACTGCATTGCGCTCCAATTCATTTTGCTCCCAATGTTTTTCAAATTTGCCATTTATGGAACGAAAATTCAGGAATTGCAGGGCCGTAGCAACAGGGGGGCTGGGGGCTGCAGCCCGCCCCCTCCCCCCAATAATTTGCTAATAATCCGTGACAAACTACAAAGAATGAAGATATTACCCATATTTTCTTGCAACTTATTCAATATATAGTTAATAGTAAATAGTAAATACGCCTTCGCCCATTTGGTACTACTAAATTGTAAATTTAGACATACTAAAAGTCTAAAACGCTGTTTTCTGACTATCAGAATTCTGTCAAATCTTCCCCAAAGTCCAGGAAATGGCATTTCAGAGAGTTTGAATTTAAAAAAGAGCTTCCTAAGGCCCTGAATTGTAGTCTCTGAGGAGTTATTTTCGGTTCTAGTTCTAGGTCAGTTTTTCACATATATCTTTTGTGACTAATGATCTGTATATCAAGTGCCACGCATTCACACGCATAGTGTGCTATTTGTACAGTTATATCTGAAAAATATAAACAGATTCGACGTTTCGAACGAAGGCCCTTCGAGACGTTCTGTTTGTATTTTCAGGTTGTTCTATCACCTACACTGGCCGTAGCGCCATGATATAAACAAACAGCAGCTCAGCTTTTTACCGAGAGTGTTGAAAATCCATCTTTGGTCATTTAATAACTGTAGGAATAATTAGCTGTATATATGAACCAATAGCAAAGAAGTAAATATCAGAATGAGAGCAGAAACAAATACAAAGTTAAACTTCCAAGTAAAGTCAAGGAAGTAGAATGTGACAATTACAGCCCAAGATATTGGCAGAGCATGATCTTACAGAAAACACTCTTTGTTTGAGACTTGTAAACGAATCACCTCTAATCATGCGTCACATTCGTACACAATGCACTTGTATTCATGGCAAACTTCGCGCGCCAATTATGGTCCATCATATTAAGAATACATATTCAATACATTGACACGTTAAGGCACAGTATGAAACTTTCTCATGAATTCACAAGCAGGAATCGGAAGTTTGAAGTACACCAGAGATCAGTATCGAATCTATCGATACAATTATATAGCTACTGAAATAGTGATATCCATTACTTGACGTAAATCGTAATTGAATAGGATACCAGTATTTAATAATACTTGTAAAGCATGCATGTCAATGAAAACAATTTATTATAACTATACCAATCAATATTGCTACAAGTTCGTACAAGTTCATGCATACAAAATAATCCCGATTTACAAATACTTTGACTGTACAATTATGATATCAACACGTCTAAAGTGCTCACTGAACAGTGAAGTGGACGATCTGACGATATACGGACCGCGACTACAACATTAAATCATCCAGTCTCAATAATCACGCTTAGAAAGCGCTGCATTGCATAATTGCATGAATTTTCTTGCCACATCGACTAACAACTTAAATAGAAGTCTAACCGCGCGGAATCATTAGATCTTAATATGACATCAACTTATGATGATGTGCTTTTTCCGTTCGATCAAAATATGAATCTGATTTCTAAACAACTTTTGGGACAATCAAGATTGAAACATGATAAAAAATAGGAAATTATTCATCATAACGAACTTAATAACTTGTACTCACATGATCTCAAACTAAATATAATGTCTGCCAGGCTCATTTCCTGTAGGCTGTATATAGTATTAATTTTGTCGAGCACTACGGCCCTACACCACATTACTGGAATGGATGTATAACACATATTCTTATATATATATATACCAGAGAACATTTTCTAAATATAAGAAACAGTTTAAGATGTCGTGAGTTTTGCGAATTTGCGTGGTTAAATCTAGATTAATTCAGCAATGTTAAAATATTCGTGACGCTTGATATGTCGGTCCATATAAATCAATATAAATGTTGCACATATGATTTCATACGTATCATTTACCTACTGCGTTGAATTTAGTCTTCCTTGATGTACCATCGTTGGTTCGACCATGGTTGTATGCTAAGAATCGTCTTTTGTTACAAACTTCACACGTATATTCAATGTGGCTGCGTTATTTGCCTTGTAACAATATACCCATGATCTGCATTGAAGAGTTTCTGAATATCAATGAGTTGACAATCGCACTCAAAGTGAAAGTCCTCTGCACGAACGGAATGTGGTATTCATGACTTCTTTCTAGTCAAGTTATCTTCGCTATTCATAAGATACACCACACGCCTACCGTTTATCATTACTCTATATCCTGTGACATGGGGCTAAGGTTTCCCTTGGTACGTTTAAAAATATTTAATAACCTGTATTGACACTTAAGTTAATATTAATAGCATATCCATGGAAGCATGAAAAATGTACATCCTTGAGTTTGTCTGACAGAATGATGTTAATTGTAAAGTATATAATGTCCTATAATTTTATTCATTCCAACCAGACTGTAGAGTTGTAGTCAGAAGCAAAGGTCAGATCATTGAAAAAAATGCGATGATATGAAATGACCTTGATAATAGTATTGCTATAAAACTAATCAGGTTGAAAGTAAAAAGAGAGACAAGAGACCATTGTGGTTTGTCTTGTTTAGGAGATAATCTCTTTATCCGCGAGCGCAGGTGGACTTGTTATTCTTTGTGATCGATTTATTTCATATTTGTGACGTCGCTCGATGTCTTTCAATTATCTGCGATAATCAGTAGAAAACGAACAAATTATTTCAACAGAATGCATGTAATCAAACGCAGCTGTGGTTTAGGTAATGAAATTTTTATCAGTGAGTATTGTAAGTTTTAGCCGTTGATGGAGATCGCTGCTAATGGTCAATTTAGTTGGCAGACCGCTAGCCTCGGGTTTAAAATTAGAAGCATTGATATGTACTCACTAGTCACTACAATAAAGAATAAATCAATGAGTTGAAGCAGGGAGTTCGTTAATGTAATGGCAGGTGTTGATTGCATGGAAGATATATGGATGATGGGCCAACTCTTACCCATATTTTCTAGCATTACCTCCAGTAAGTAAATACTGTATTCCGATCTGTATTCCACGTGCTTAAGAGTGTATTTCGAATTCGAAATACCTCTATGCATGTCTATGACGTCAAAACATTTAGATATTCAAGCCCCCGCATTAGGCCGCATATACCGTCTTTGGGGGAGGGTGAATTCTGAAGGAGCAAATAAATGCTGTTACATTATATGAAACAATACTTTTAATACATATTATTATAATAGTTATTATATAGTAAGAGATGAAATTGCTAAAGAACATAGCCAACTTTACAAACCTCAAAATCACCTGAAATTTGGGCGCAATTGTCACCAATGCAAATTGATTTCGATCACGGTGACTCCGGAATTGAAGTTCTTTGTTTAATTTACCACACCCCAAAATCATGAATAAAAAAGGGGAAGTTGTTTATTTTATCAAGCATGCATGATGTATTGCTTTTATTATTGGCCATTCGCTTTCATTGCTCCAAGTTACCAAGTATGAATAAAAAAATTGAGTGAAAAAAGTTACAGTCTTGACTGAGACTCCGATCGCGCAACTGCGCTACATGTTTGCTTCTTTGAGATCTTGAATAAATTAGTAACTCAAGTGACACCTTCCTTCAGAATTCCTCTCATACACCGGCACCACCGGTGATCATATTCCTCCTCCAGATACAGTGCTTAGAATGGCGGAATATGTCACTGAAACGAAATGTCTTACAATTTCTACTTTCTTGGACTTGGTGCATGAGCTTGAGGGGATAACAGGGTGCAATAAGTGTTGCCGGGGTTAACCATTCAGCGGTTATCCTCACATGGAAACATCCTAGCCTCCTCCGCAGGCATCGCCTTTCGATTATCGGGCAAAATTTCTTGCAGGCAAAATTTCTGAAGTACGTGAACTACGAGATGCCTGCGGAGGAGGCTAGAAACATCCCAATATATCTCGTTGTCAATGTGTTGATATCCTTAATCCTATATAACTCTAATATATTCTAACTCATGAACAGCCATAGGCTTCCGAAAAGGGTAGCGTTGCATCATTATGTATATAGCCTGAGTCAGACGAATAACGAATTTTATTATATAAACATAAGTGTTACATAGAGTTTTTGGCCACTGAGAAAAATCGTATTTAACACACGTAAAAAATACGATATTCTTACGTGTGAAAATATCATTTGTGGTAAAACGCATTGGCACGGACGTTTTATTGTTTTTCACTGAATTTTGTTTATATAATAAACAGAAAAATACATGGGTGCTTGGAAATACCAGATTTATTTCTCGTGTTGAACATGATGTCTCACTCGAAATAAATCTGGTATTTCCGCGCACCCATGTATTATTCTCTATATAATTCGTTATTCGTCTGACTCAAGCTACTCGAAGGTTGGCAAGAAAATATATGCGGGAGCCGGCCCGACGTCACAACGGTGAAGCTCTTTCAATTGATTGTCTGCCTGGCCCAAATCTTGGCCAATCAGAGAGCTTTATTTTGTGGCGTCGGGCCGACAGCTGTCATCCCGCATATATAGGTTTGAAAAAATTGATTAAGCTGAGTCAAATATTTGATGAATTTTCGCAAAATTCACTCATTTTAATGTGGTGAAAGAACAAAAAATGCATTAATGCGGTGGCGTTAAATCATGTGTTAAAGCTGTCATAATAAGTTTATGTACGAGTTTTTCGTCACTCAGTAGTTTTTTTGATAAAGTGTTCAGTCCAGACACACTGGACGCGATTCGACAACCGTAGACGTACAAGACAGGGAGCAGGGGGGCAACTGCCCCCCCCCCCCAAAAAAAAAAAAGTTTGGAAAACCATGGAAATTCGGGCGAATGCTAGGAAAAATCAAGAGAATTCGGGCAGATTTATCAGAAAATAGGTTAAATTCAGGTAAATTTCATTACAATCCTCCATGAAATCCGGGCAAACTTTCAACTGCCCCCCGGAAAGCATCAGCCGCGTACGGCTATGTCGACAATGCGACGCGATTTTTCGATTTTCACTGAACGATAACTTTGATCCTAGTTTAAATTTTCCAAATATTTAGAAGCGTTATAACCTTTTGAGTTATTTGGTCTACATATCTTTTAAAATTTGCTCTCATTGGCTCAGTTTTATTATCTTTCAAAAACTAAAAAATCGCGTCGCGTTGTCGAATCGCGTCCGGTGTGTCTGGACCTTTAGGGACCGGTCATAAAGTAACTGCTGGGGTGGGCCGGGGCGAAAAATAGGTTTTAAAAAAAAAAACCGGTGGCCCATTCTGAGAACCTAGAAAAAATTTCAAAGCCCATCGTAGGTCATTGGAAAAATTTCACGACCCATCCTGCTATACATGAATATGTACAGTATAGCAGTCACTTTAATCAAACCATGCACTGAGTCACTTTCTCATAACTTTATAGAACAAATTAATTGGTTATTGAGTGCAAACAGGCTATATGTGTTTCATGGCCCATCATTTGCACAAAAAACAAATTGATGGCCCACCCAAACTGATGAAAATAATTTCATGACACATCCTTATTTCCCCTTGCCTACGGTGTAGACCTCAGCGGCTCTCTTCCTATAGCAGTTACTTTCAGTGACCGGTCCCTTATTAAATGGTCTTAAATTCGGTATCCTCCTGCCGCCCACTATGCGCATTCAATCTGGAAGATGTACTTCATGCAATACGAATTATAATAGTCCAGAGGTTTTAATGTGGATTAATCAAGCGAGAATATATTAAGAATTGCATTTTTATGTTTTTTTTAAATAAGAGACCCTTTCGGGAGACCTATACATGAATGGTTGATGAATCTATAAGCCCGCGTATATCTTTTAACGTAATAGCACACCCTTCAATGTCCGATGAAACATGCATAATGAATTGTTTTTGCAACTTCCATGGTTACGAATCATTAATACTATTATGAGTTGTGACTTCTCATAAATTCTTCCCATTTTTGAAGAAATAAGATAATCTGCGGATATAACCGCCCTCGCAATGATTACTTTATATTGCAACAGTGTGGGAAGGCGTTGAAAACATTACATTTTAATCAAACACTGCAAGAAAACATGCTTTTTTTACACAACCGATCTGTCAAAGGCTAAATACCAATCTAAAATGAGCAAGTTTTGTGACTGGCCAGTGTAGTATTCCACTCTTAGAGAATTCTTATGGAGTTTAGTACAGTTCGATAATAAAATGTCCTTTGGCCGATAGCACTTTTAAATAGTGGAATATGTATATACGGTTTGCTGACTAATGTCTCCACGTTGTATAATTTTTTATATAAATAGTCTGGAGCACAGTAGCCATGGCAAGTAACATTTCTCAAATGCAACTCGCTTGTTACTCGGGTAGCCATTTTAGTTGGTATTGTTCATATTGCACTTTGAGGTATTACTACTGACATTACTAGCAATAATAAAGTCTGCTAAAAACCAGATTTACTATAGTGATGAGAGTACATCTGTCAAAGGCACGCACGATTAATTGGCAAATATATTCAAGTATGGGCATACAGGTTGTGACGGTCGGTCTTGATAATATGATGTTGGTAGGTTAAGTTAACATCCATTGAGTTAACGCCAAGGTCCTTCGCGTAGACAAAAGTGTTTGTGACCGATTCGCTCTGCATACACGATTTTTCTACATATCATATGACAAGTTCTTACGAAATTTTACGCGAAGAACTGCTGGCAAGTGTTGGTGGGCGAAAACTAGAAACGGTGCGCACTTACTACTTTAATCCCTAGAGACGTTGGAAATGTATGGGCGTTCGTCTGATTCTTCGAGACGTCTTCATATAGTCGACGTATAAAACAAGAGACAACAAATTAAAAATTTATGATTTGATTTGGTAAACGGCAGGGAGTAGACTGTCGCTCGGACTGTCGTGTTTTGTTTTCGTTTTCCAATCAAAATATTGCTACAACTCGTTAGTAGAATTTACTAATCTGAAGGCTATAGTGAAGTCTGTATTAAAATATATATTGTACCCATTACTTACAGAAAGTCAAGTCGTAGCTGTTACAGGTAAAAACGTGATCAAAACTTTAAACTTGTAATAGACATGGCACAAGCAAGGTATTCGTTAGTATAAATTTAAATCTAATATATTCAGACTAAGATGAAGTTCGGTTCAAATGCACCTACCATAGCCATAGGTTTGCGTGTGTACATTAAAACGCTTTTTATCTTGCTTATATAGTTATCG